AAGTAGTCAAACCTCTCTCAACTTTCAAGTCATATAAAAAGTCTTATGACACTTTCAAAAAATTACAAACACTAATGTTTTGTAATGTTATGACCAATCAAATCAATAAGTCTATAAGTAAACCTAAACAGTAAAGGCCTGCCTTCCATATTTTTTTTTTAAACAGAGTCTCACTATGTCGCCCTAAGTAGAGTACCATGGTATCACAGCTCACAGCACCCTCAAACTCTTGGGCTTAAGTGACTCTCTTGCCTCGGCCTCCCAAGCAGCTGGGATTATAAGTGCCCGCCACAACACCTGGCTATTTTTTTTTTGCAGCTGTCATTGTTGTCTAGGTGGCCCAGGCCAGGTTCGAACCCGCCACCTTCAGTGTATGTGGCTGGCACCATAACCACTGTGCTGCAGGTGCCGAGCTCTGCATTCTGTATTTTAGGTTCAAAAGAACCATATGCAATATTTTATTATCTTATTTTAAAAAATACGTTTTAGGCTACACTCATTCTGAATGCAAAAGTTTAATTACATACCTCTGTTAAAATATCAGCCAGTTCAACATGAACTTTAGTTTGTAGTGATGTTCTAGCCACATCTAAGAGGATTGTTCTTTCCATGTCCTTTTGTACTTTGATTTCCTCCAAAACTTCAAGTGCTTTTATTTTTGCAACTTCAAGCCCTTCAGCTATTATTCTAGGATGCAGGCCCTGTTATGTCAAAATGAAATTATAAAGTATGTCATCCCAAGCACAAGTAACCATCCTCTCCTACTAATAGGTATGCCAAAAAAAGTTACATTAATGCCATATATTATAAGCATGATTTATAAAAGTTATTTTGACTCATTTTATCTGAAATAATCTCAAATTTCTAGAAAAGCCGCAAATTCTAGTACAAAAAAATTATAAAAGTCCTTTTTATTTCCAAATATTATGACTACATTGTTGTCATGTGGAATGAGGGCAAAAGAAAAGATTCCTTTCAATGCAGAAAAAAATAACCAGCCTTGATTCAGAGAAAAGTGGCAGACAGACCACTGTGGTGTCTACCCCTTCACTCAGTGATCAAAGCTGACATCACAGTAATGAGACAGAGATGCATCCTGTGCCTCCTGATATGATGCATTCAGTAGAACATAACAACGCTTTTGCAATATGCCTGCCCAAAATCTATAAGCTGAGTCTAATGGAGGAAATAGGCAAATCCAAACTGAGGCACTTTTTACAAAATAATGGCCCGTACTGCTTAAAAGGAGTAATGTCATGAAGCACAAAAGGCAGCCCAGGAATTAGTTTGGCTGAAAGGAGACTGGGAACAGGGGACTGGGGACCTGACAACTGAACGCAATGGATGAACTTAGATTTTCTTTTTTCTATAAAGGACACTAAATCTCTATAAGAAAATTAAATAAAATCTGAAGATTAGATTAGTGCCAATGTGTCCATGTTATACTGATTTCCTGTTTTCCATAATCACACTGAGATTATGTCATTCCGATTTTAAGAAATATATGTCGGCTTGGCACCTGTGGCTCAAGCGGCTAAGGCGCCAGCCACATATACCTAAGCTTGCGGGTTCGAATCCAGCCTGGGCCCGACAAACAACAATAACGGCTGCAACCAAAAAATAGCCAGGTGTTGTAGCAGGCACCTATAGTCCCAGCTACTTCGGAGGCTGGGGCAAAAGAATCACTTGAGCCTAGGAGTTGGAGGTTGCTGTGAGCTGTGATGCCACGGCACTCTACCCAGGGTGACAACTTGAGGCTCTGTCTCAAAAAAAAAAACAAAAAACAAAAAAGAAATATATGTCAAAATATTTAGATCATGTCTGCAACTCATTCTCATGCCATTTAGAAAACAGTATGTATAGTGACATAAAAATATATACATCTGAGGGAGTGGAGCAGATGAGGAAAGAGAGAAATGATAACACCTAGAGAATCAGGGTTAAAAGTATACAGGTGCTGGACATGCTGGCTCACACCCATAATCCTAGTGCTCTGGTAGGCTGAGGAAGGAGGATAGCTTGAGCTCAGGAGTTGGAGATTGGCAAAAGAGACCCCCATCTCTACTAAAAATAGAAAAAAATAAGGTCAGGCATGGTGGCTCACAACTGTAATCCCAGCACTCTGGGAGGCTGAGGTGGGTGAATTGTTCATGACCAGCCTGAGCAACAGTGAGACCCCATCTCTAAAAAATAGCTAGGCAAAGTGGTGGACACCTATTGTCCCAGCTACTTGGGAGTCTGGGGCAAGATCACTTGAGCCCAAGAGTTTGGGGTTGTTGTGAGCTATGACACTGCATTCAACCCAGGGCAACAGAGTGAGACTCTGAGAAAGGAAAGAAAGAAAGAAAATAAAGAGAGAGAAAAATAGCCAGACATGGTGACTATGTCTATAGTCCCAGTTACTATGAGCCTGAGGCAGAAAGATTACTTGAGCCCAGGAGTTTGAGGTTGCAGTGAGCTACAATGATGCCACTATACTCTACTTAGGGCAACAGAGCAAGACTCTATCTCAGAAAAAGAAAAAAAACAGGAATTCTTTGTAATATTCTTGTAATTTTTTCATTGGTCTAAAATTGTGACAAAATAATTTTTTTTTTAAGACAGAGTCTCACTATGTCACCCTCAGTAGAGTTCTGTGACATCACAGCTCACAGCAACCTCAAACTCTTGGGCTTAAGTGATTCTCTTGCCTCAGCCTCCCAAGAAGCTGGGACTACAGGTGCTCACCACAACACTCAGCTATTTTTTTGTTGCAGTTGTCATTGTTGCTTTAGCTGGTCTAGGCCAGGTTTGAACCCGCCACCCTTGGTGTATATGGCTGGCACCCTACCCACTAAGCTACAGGCTCTACCAGACAAAATAATTTTTTAAAAAACAATAGTTTAGGCCAGACATGGTGGCTCACACATGTAATCCTAGCAGTCTGGGAAGCTGAGACAGGAAGATCCCTTGAGCTCAGAAATTTGAGATCAACCACAGCAAAGTGAGACACCTGTCTCTATAAAAAATAGAAAAAATTAGCTAGGTATGATGGCGTGTGCTTGTAGTACAAAGTAGTTGAAGGGTGAGGCAGAAGGATCACGTTGAGTACAGGAGTTTGAGTCTACAGTGGGCTGTGATGCCACTGCTTCTACCTGGGGCAACAGAGAGAAACTGTGTCAAAAAAAAAAAAAGTTTATTCTGGGTTGGACACATCATAGCTTACATCAAACTCCTAGGCCCAAGCAACCCCCTCTTGCCTCAGCCTCCTGAGTAGCTGGGACTACAGGTACCCACCACAATGCCCAATTACTTTTACTACTTTTAGTAAAGATGGGTCTCACTCCTGCTCAGGCTGGTCTCTGAACTCCTGAGCTCAGGCAATCCACCCACCTCGTCCTCCCAGAGTGCTAGGATTGCAAGCAGGAGCCACCACACCAGGCCCCTCCTTTCCATCAGTCCTATTATAATCATTAGAAGATGAAATTCTTGAGCACTTGTGTTGGGCATGATTCTATGGGCTTTATGTGAATAATTTAATCTTCTCAACAACACAATGGAGTGGGTATTATTATTATTCCTATTTCACAGTTGAGGAAATCAAAGGGATAAAATAATCTTCCTTAGATCACCAGGATAGTAAGAAGTTGACCCAGAGTTTAAACCCCTGAGACCAGACAATTTTGGAGGCTAGCGAATGGAGGATTCCGGCTAGAGTTGATGGTTTTTACAAAGGAAAATCAAGCTAGAAAGTTATGTAAGACAAAGTAACAAACACAGGAAGCCATGCTTCCTCATCTCTGCTTACCAGCATAATTTCACAATGCCCCCGAGTATGAGAGGTCAAGCAGCCCCCTGGAGAAATTTTTTAAAAAACAAATAAGATAGGCTCGGCGCCCGTAGCACAGTGATTACAGTGCCAGCCACATACACCAATGGTGGCATGTTCGAACCCGGCCAGGACCAGCTAAACAAGTGCAACAAAAAAATAGCCAGGCATTGTGGCGGGCACCTGTAGTCCCAGCTACTTCGGAGGCTGAGGCAAGAGAATCGCTTAAGCCCAAGAGTTTAAGGTTGCTGTGAGCTGTGACATCACAGCACTCTACCGAGGATGACAAAGTAAGACTCTGTCTCAAAAAAAGAAAAAAAAAGATTCAGGGGTGGGTGACGTAGCTCATAACTGTAATCCCAACACTCAGGGAGGCCAAGATGGGTAGATTGCCTGAGCTCATAGGGTCGAGACCAGCCTGAGCAAGAGTGAGACCCTATCTCTAAAATTAGCCAGGCGTTGTGGTAAGTGCCTGTAGCCCCAGGTACTTGAGAGGCTAAAGCAAGAGAATCACTTGAACACAAAAGTGTGAGGTTGCTGTGAGCTATGACACCAGGACACTCTACAGAGGGCAACAAAGTGAGACTGTCTCAAAAAAAGAGTGAGACTTTGTCTCTAAAAAAATAACTGGGAATTACGGCAGGTGCCTGTAGTCCCAGCAACTTGGCAGCCTGAGGCAAGAGTCTCGCTATGTCATCCTCGGTGGAGTGCCATGGCGTCACAGCTCACAGCAACCTCCAACTCTTGGGCTCAAGCGATTCTCTTGCCTCAGCCTCCCAAGTAGCTGGGACTATAGGCACCCACCACAATGCCTGGTTATTTTTTGTTGCAGCTGTCATTGTTGGTTTGCTGGCCCCGACCAGGTTCAAACCTGCCACCCTTGGTGTATGTGGCTGGCACCATAACCACTGCGCTACGGGCACCGAGCTGGCCCTCAATCTTTTTAAAGAGCTGTTCCTGGGTTCTAAGTCTTGGTGTGTCATACTCAGTAACACTACTAAATAAAACTAATTCTAATTCTTACAATATCATTGTTTCTTTAGTCAACAGGTAAGTAAATTCACAATGTCAAAAACCTTCAATAATTTTTCTCTATGGCACTGAGCTTTCTCTATGTTTTTCAAGGTATATAATCTGGTTTCCATTTTATCAGTGGTATTTTCTTTGTTAAGTAATTATCCATGGACACATGGGCAATTTTTTACCCTTTTATATATCTTAAATATTTAATCTTTTAAAGAAGTATATAATTCCAATAAAAATTATTTTGACCAAAAAGTTATTATTTCCATTTATATCTGCCCAAGAATATCTTGATGAAAATTAACTTTACCCCTTAAAATTAAACAATTTTACTAAGAAAAAAAACTTTACATTTAAAACAAAACATGAATGCTCTTAAATTCTAATACCTCAGAAATGTAAAGATCAGCTTGTCTTAGTAACTCTCCAATAATTAAAACATTTGAAGTCGTACCATCTCCTGTGACATCATCCTGAGCTGTTGCTACTTTGGCTATCAAAGAAGCTGTTGGATGTTGAATTTGCTAGGAAAAGTAACCAAGAGATTAAAAAAGAGAGAGGATGAGATAAGTAGGCCACCAAAAATACGATAACCTAAGGGTCACCAGTAAAATTATGAAATAAGCTTATTCTACATATTTACAAACTTTGTATTATCAATACTTAAATGTCAAGTTCAAAATTTTTAAAGTGAAAAGTAATGAAGTCTGAAGGCTTTATAAAAGTCTTTGCTTCAGAATGCAATGGCATTTCCAAAATAAGATTAAACCCTTCAATCTAAAGGATGAGTACATGTACTAAAATTGCAAAGGATTTTTTTTTATTTTTCCATGATTACAAAGAACACAATGCAGTGCCCTTGAAAGATATTATTAATGTGTAAGCATCCCTAAGCTATTACTTAAACAAAGATTTGGAAATAGCAAAAAAGGATTTTTTTTGACATTGATCCAACAAGCCTATCCCAAGACTACAATATTTAGCTGATAACCTTGGCCTAACAACATATAGATTGTACTATGTTCCTAATTAAGGCTTATTAAGGTTTATCAAAGTCAGCAGCATCAGCTCACCATCTCATGGAGCAGCACATTGCCATCTTTGGTGAGTTTGATGTCACCTGCACCAGAAACAAGCCTGTCCAGAGAACAGTGATGTTATTAGCCTCACATGGCAAGAGTCAAGCAAGACATGCCCAGTGCTTGCCACTCCACTATCTTTACTATAGTGAACTGGGCTTGGAAAACTTCCACTGTCCCACAGGGAGATACCATGTAATTACCACTATTTGCAGCTCATAAAATCACTTCTCTTCAGATCATTACTTATGGTAATTTCATCCCAGGTGGTGAATTTACCAGTTTAAAGATAAGAGTAAATGATGAGGCTCCCTGTCAGTAGCACAGTGGTTTCAGCACCAGCCACATACACTGAGGTTGGCAGGTTTGAGCCCAGCACAGGCCTGCTAACCACAATTGAAACAAACAAACAAAAAATCCAGGCGTTGTGGCAGGTGCCTGTCTCAAAAATAAAAAATAAAAAGAGTAAATGATGAGTTATGAACAATGGTTTAGCCAAAGAATACTTACAAGTGGGCAGAGCACAGATTTACAAATTTCTTGTAGGTTTTCTATTTTGGTCAACATTCTGAGTCATTCAATCACTCAACATAGTTTCCCTCATCGCTCACATTTATTACATCACCAAGTTCTGTCAATTCTTCAAACTAAATCTGTCCCCTTCTCTCCATTTCCACAGTCATCATCTTTACCCTAGAGTACTTAGCATCCTGGTATCTCTAAATTGAATCTACACTACACAGTGCATTTATCTTTCTAAAAGGCAATGTGACTCAGTTCCCTGATGAAAAAAATCTTACAATGATTTTTATGTTCTGGCATCACCTTCAAGGCAAATCCAAACTAATTTATCAATGACATACTTGACCTTTCTCAATCTGGCTTTTGTCTATCTTCCCTACCTCATCTGCCTTCCCACAAGCAAACCTTTTGGTTCCCTTAATACACGACATTTTGGGTTTATTTCTGTTGGGTTTACAACACTGGGCTTTCTTATATCTGAAATTACTCTACCTAGAAGGTACCCACTCCCTTCTCCAGCTGATTAATTCATATTCTTCTTTCAAGACTGATGAATCATCATCAGGTGAGGCTTTTCCTTCTGCCATCAGTCCTTTTCCTCAGTATAATCATCTGCACTTGTATACAGTGTAATTCGCTTATCTTTATCAAATCTGAGAACAGAAACTGTATTTTGGTCATTTCTGTGTTCCCCACATCTAATACATAAGTGCCCTCTTTTATCATTATTATTTTGCTCTTTCCAGTGAGGATGTCTCTCTCCTCTTATGCCCTTTTTGCCCTCACTAGTCTCTTTTCCTCACACTTGTCTAAAGAAAATAAAACTAAATAAATGCTGTATATGCTGAATGGATGGACACATATGAAGAACCATGGGCACGAGCATTTAAGTAACCTGCCTGAGTACTCACAACTACAAGATTGTGGAACTTGCATTTGAACCCATGCCTTGCTGGCTCCAAAGCCCGTGCCTCTACACTCCAACATACTGCCATACAAAAACATTATGGCTTGGAAGGTGCCTGTGGCTCAAAGGAGTAGGGCGCTGGCCCCATATGCTGGATTCAAACCGGGCATATGTCCAAAAACGGCAAAGATATATATACATATATATATAATGGCTGGGTGCCCCTAGCACAGTGGCAGGGCGCCAGCCATATACAACAAGACAGCTGAGTTGGAACCTGGCCTAGGCCAGCTAAACGACAATAACAACTGCAACAAAAATAGCCAGGCCGTTGTGGCGCGTGCCTGTAGTCCCTGCTACTTGGGAGGCTGAGGCAAGAGAATCGTTTAAGTCCAAGAGTTGGAAGTTGCTGTGAGCTGTGATGACACCGCACTCTACCCTGGGCAACAGCTTGAGACTGAGTCTCAAAATAAAAAAATAACATTATCTGTTGAGTTTATACACTAAAGATGCCTTAAGTGTATAAACTAAAAAAAATT